TGCTTCCGATGCTAATTCTGCTTCTATTGGCAATTGTGCTTCTTAGAAGCGGATTTTGCATGTTGCACAGCAACAATCCATGTGATAGTTAAGCCCAGTGGCGCTTCCATTCCTATTTGATCTCTTGTTGTGCCTAAAAGTGCCACTTGGGCCACAAACCACGAAATTATCGCCACACAAGCTACAGACATCGCATGGTCTCGATAAAATCACTATAATTTGTAGAATAATCAAGTCTATCATAGTCATATATGGTGCCCATAACATTGATGGCACTAGTCCCATAAATCATCAAATATGCTAAACTAGACCCCTTTCCCAACATTAAGCTGTGCATACAGTAAATCAAATCAATCTGCCAAGATAAAATCATCATAATTTGTAGAATATGAACATCTATCTGACAACTGTATAGTCCCTACCTTGTGAGTATCCCATAGTCTTCCTACATTACAAGCACTCTCATTACTCCTCAAAACTCCTTACTCATGTGTGCGGAGTTTGAATTTGTTCCGGAAGAATACTGAAACACTTAGTCATTTCATTTACCAGATGTTCTAAGCCAGAGAAGTCCAAGCTCAAGAGGTCCGTGGACTGGTCTATGGGACTGAAATATAGGGTTAGGGGTCTGCACGAACCTTGCGTTGCCCGCGTTGCCGCCAAACCTAACAAAGAAAAGAAGCAAAAGAAAGAGGTAGTATAAACGATGTACCTTCGTTCCTCAGGCATCGTAAAATGAGTACCCCTTTGCAGGGAGTCTGATTAAGCTTTAACAAAGTTCACTGGACACCAAGAGATAGCACAAGAATTGATGAATACATTAAACAAGGGTAGCTATTATACATTCATAGAACAAAGCGAGACAAACAAGAAGAAATTCAGTTGATGTCATCCAATACAGTGGCTTAGACCTCATTATCAGACTCATATCCTTCATCTGAATACCCCTGAATCCATGCAGGCGAAGAGTTGATTGGAATATGAATGTTCAGTCTATAGACATTATCCACAGCATCAATATGCCAGGAGCCTTGGAATATAAATTCCGGCCAGAATCCTTCAACGGTGCTGTTTTCTATGAAGAAACTCAGTAGCGAACTAGGACCTGCATGTGAGATTTTGCTACATACGGACTGATGGGAGGATGGAAAAACTAGACACCGTGGAAAGGACATGACGTGCGACATGAATAATCACAAGAAGCCGGTGTTTGATGGTTGTGAAGTGATCTGAGCAGTGTTGTTAGTGGAAATGATTGTTATAAATACCAGGATACGCACCCCACTCGGGGATAAAGGTATAAGAGTCGCCGTTGATGACCAATATAGCCATTTCACCATAAACTAGGGCAATCACCGGTGAAAGGCCAATCAACTCATTCTACATAACTATACATATAATGATGTTAGGAACAACAATGCAAAGGACAATTGGAACTCACCAGTACTGGAGGAACTCTCGTTGGCAGACATGGTGGCGGTAAAGGATGAGAGAACACTGAACCGTTGCAGAATCAATGTGACATCGGCAATTGCCGAAATGAGGTTGAACTTGTTTACGATTTGGTGGCCTTCTGACTAACATGCATACTCTCTCTTCAAATGTGATAATACAATGCTTTATCCTGCAAGGTACTAATATCTTATAATTTTATAGTCTAAAGGTAGGACCTTTAGTGTATATTTGGCCATGATCACGGTTCCTATCCCAAATAGTCACTTGTTTACATATATGCATTATGATGGAGGATCTCGCCGATTGGGGGATGCTAGTTCTCGATGTTAGGATGTCATGATCTCAGCTTCAACATTAACTATGACGAGCAACAGGATACATCCCTTATCAAAGCTGTTGTGCAGCTACTAACCTGGCAACACAAAAATCCTTTCGCTTCTGGATATCAATGATCAAACCCACCTCTCGACATACAAGGGTCCACTGTAAGACCTCGCCCGGGATATTTTATGGCGAGATGTGACATGAGCAATGGTGGTAAAAGAAGTGTCGACTATCACACACCAATTTGTGCTATATCATGGCTATGGTTCATCTCAAGATGAACAGGCTGAAAGTACTGCAGTGATCGTGAGTTTTTTCTTTTCAGGATACAACTAATATTGTCATCACTCAAATTCTTTCAAGCCTCTTTCAGAGTGGCAATCACTCATAGCTCTCACACACTATATCCGACACCTGCATGAGGCTAAAAGGGCAGCCTGGGGTGCAATTGATCCACTGTCAAGTAAGACCGTGCAGAGCTCGAGTCTAGCCTACCCCTTTTTTTAGAACCTGACTTCCTTTCATGAAAGCATCGACAGTGTCGTATGCCGCATGGGTATCCTCGGCGAGAATATCCAGATGCTGAGGCTCAGTGTTCCACCGGGGATAGATTCGTACAGGATGGGAGATGTTCTTCCACACGCCGTTGCCAATTTCAAGTCCCTCACTACTCTCACTTTAGCCATACCCGCAGGCGACACCCTCCATTCTACATTCATTAATACCATCCTCAACATCATCCCAAACATCCCCAATCTAAAAGTTCTCAGTCTGCCTGCCAGCGCTCTGAACGGAAATATTCTTCATGAGCTCAGTGTGCAGTGCCGAAGACTCGAGGAGCTACACAGCACTTATGTGCTTCCTCAATTTGGTGTCTTGAACATACAAGATGATGGCCCAAGAGCTTGCTGTGCCCATTTATCATGCAAGCCTTGGCCAAGGTCTCCATCGTCTCCACATGTAAACCCCTCGGCAGGTTTCTCGAATCACAGACAGTATTTTCCTCCTCCATCCACCATTTACAATTCTGTCATATCCGCGGTGTAGACAACGATGTCCTTGACATGAGGGACCTCATCGTGACTATTACCTCGCAGTGTGTGACACTCAAGTCCCTCACTCTCAATGCAGACGCTAACGTCAAACAGCTTGAGGCAGACGTGATAGATGGCCACCACCATCTCATGCTCGAGGATCTCTGCCAGCTGTCCATTCTCCCTAAGTTGACACGATTATACATATACAACTCTTACCCCATTGAATTCAACGACGGCACCGTGTTGTCTCTCACACATTTCTTCCGTAGGCTCACGCACCTGCATCTTAATCCCTGTCCACCATGTCCAAAAGGAACACGCCCAGGACTCGCTGCAGTCAAGCATTGTGTTGGCGAGCTTCGAGACCTGGAAGAGCTGGCACTCTACTTATTGATCAAGAGCCCGCAGCCCATGGACATCCTGATACTGCCCTCCGATTAGAGCAGTCAATGTCGTTGCCAACATCTGCAGCTCCTTCACCTCGGTTCTATGCAGTTTCCCGGTGGCTACGGAAGGAGCGCCATGAACTGTACTTGTGCTTTCTTTCTGGCCCAAGTGTTGCCAATATGCATGAGCATCAAGATCAGAAAGGTGGATGAGGGAGAGTGGGAAGCTCCATGTATGGTCGAGGAATGGGACAAAAGCAACCTTAACCATGGATGGTGGGAGGACCATTGCATGTCACTTATTCATTTTATGAAACAGATGTACTGTATGATTCAAAACTATTTGCCACCCCCCTGTGACTGTGACCAATTTCGTGGAATTCTGCCACACCAGAGGCCGGTTGTGACCTATGACCACACTAGAATTTTGCCACCCATTTCTTCAGTAGTTGACCTATAAGTAGATTGTGACTGGGTCTGAGACATTGAGGCACTGCTTTCTGACTTGGAGTATGAACCAGTTTGATGAAAAAGCTCAGAAATACATGACACAAGTAAATACTACAAGCGGAGTCTGAAGTTTTGTAGTGAGAGTGGCCGGAGCCACTAACTGCTGTCAAATATTGCAAATTATTCTGAGACATCCGACGTTCCCCCCTTGTCACTGCCGCTACAAGCTCACCATGCCTTCAATGACAGATCCTGCTATCCTCGAGTGGCGTGACCATGTTAAGGAGACTCTCTTACCCATCCCATCCCCGATGCCTCATTTCTTGACTTCATCAAATTCACACTCCCTATCATCACAAAAGCAAATTGTGCCACCCTTTCTGCCACCGACTTCTTCAGCAGAGAGCCTGTCAACTACGACCAACCTAGGGATATCCAGAGGATCCCAATCCCACCAACGAAGACCATAGATACCCTCCAATCTGCTCTCAATGCCATGATTCATGCTGGTCACACATCCGTCGTCTATGCCCACATCACATCCAAGACTCCTCGCTATTTCCCGTTGTGGGAGTTCCTCTACTGGTCCAAGGTCACCGTGCTGCGTACTATTCGAGATGCATGGAGTGGTGCAGATGAGAGTCTAGGGCTGTAAACGAAGGTCTGGGAGAGATCAAAAGGTCAGCACGGTGTTGAATATCAATAAGAACCACTGGGTCGCGGTTGTTCTGGACTTTGAGCACTCGGAATTCTTTTATGGCAATCCTCTCAGCTGGGCTGCTGGTGACGAGGTTGTAGAGGTGATTGATTGGTGGATCATCCATTACCCCGGCCTTCAGTTCGTGCAGAAGAAGCTGAAAATGATAGAGCAGCCCGATTGGCACAACTGCAGAATGCTGGTGAACAACGCACTGGGTCACTACTTCCTACCCAAAATGTATCCGCTCATGAAGAAGGACCGACTCGACGAGGAGCACCTTCGGACACTGTTGAAAGTCATAGAATGCCACTGAGACAGGGTGAGTTTGCTATACCAACCCCTTTGTGATGTTTGACTTGCTTACCTCGAGTTCAGAGCTTTGATGCCAAGGCCCAAAGGTATCAGTTCACATTCGGGTCGTCACTCGAAGACTACCTCACGCACTGTAAGGACGACTCAGGTTCTATATCGGGGAGTAGTGTCGAGGTCATGGAGGACACCAAACATCTCCAATCTGCCCTCGCACTACCGGCTGGGCTGAACCACGAGCCAGAGACTTTGTCAATCATATCACAAGGGGACAACCAGGCAAGCATGAGCTCTCCGCACCAGTTGAGCCTCTTTGTTCTCAGCCTTTGCTCCTCCCTCCACCAACGTTGACTTTGTTCCCAATTTGGACAGTCTCTAGGGCACTCCTGCACCATCTATCTCTATGTCCCCCATCCCGTCTGTTGTACATTCACCCACACCAGCCAGTACAAGACGATCCTCTCCCTCAGCTTCCGAATTTACCAAATCCTCAGTTGGCCCAAAGACCAAGCTCTTAAAGAGAGCATTTAGCCGTGTGCTCTCGTCAGGATCACAGAGGGCTGGTGACACCAACAATGCGCTCGCCAGCTCGTCAACCGCCGGTGGTCTTCATACACCACTTTGTTCATCCACACCTTCTCAAAACCTCCGCAGCTGTGGCCCACCTCTTAATTCTACCTCACCGTACATGTCATCGGACAAGTCTCTCCTCACAAACATCTCTGCAAGCATGGAGAAGTGATCATGGCCCAGGAAAGAAGACACTGCATCGCGCAAAAAGTCCCATATCAGCCAAGCTTTCTCATTGGCTGTCAAGTGAGCACAAAACTTACCTCGACCAAAATCACAAAGCTGTTCACCTTCCCCACCAACATCCCCTCAGCACCATTCGTCAATTCCTCAACCCTTAATGGCTCCAAACCCCGACAACACTGGAGGCTCTTCTTCTCTGCATGTCAAATCAGAGCCCACTTCATTGTCTGCACCAGGCCACAAGCAGCCAAAGGGTGTGAGCGATATTCATCGCGCTCTCAACTTGATCGCTGGAGTCAAGAGTGCATCTAATAGTCTTACAAAGTGGTGGGGCCCGTCCTCTCCAAAGACTCACAGGGCCCATGTTTTGTCGACATCGGAAGCGGCTCGAGAAGCGTACGATGACATACAGGAGATCTACAAAGCAGTTGATAAGAATAAACAGTCTGCTACAATGACTGCGGCAACACTTCGAAAGTGAAAATCACGAGCAGCGAAGGTCAAGTGTGAGATCCAGTCTGGCAAACGGGATACAAAGGGCAAGAAACGGAAGATTTCGATCAGTAAAATGCTTTATATAGAGTGGTGTACTTACCAGGATACAGAATCAAACTGTCAACAATCTTGTGGACCCGTCATCAAAGTCTCCAAAGCATAACGATGCCAAGCTCAGTCGCCCTGATCGTACCAGGAACGAAACAGTCAGAAACAAGAACAAGAAACCTCAAGGGCGTAAGCGAACTGTACTGAAAACAGATGCAAAGTACATGAACTGGCACACTTCGTTTATGTGGCGACAAATCGATACTGCTCAGCGAGTCGTTGACTGGAGTTCCTCCGCCATTGTTGGCCGGCTGGTGGAACGAGATGCCCAGACCTTCAGCAGCCTGTCTCGAGAGACTGTCAGGGACTGGATTGTTCCGGAAGACAAGAAGATGAAGGTACTGGCACAATGGACAGATGCATGCGAGGCAATGAATGAGTTTGGGTGCCATCAAGCTGGAGGAAACAAGGGTGGACGGCGCAGTGATCTTGTGAGTGACCCCTAAGTTTGACAGCATGAGATAGAGAAGCTTACTTATTTATTTCCATCTGCAGGCTCGCCACCCCAATGTTTGCAACATAATCGAGCAGCGCTTGAACGCTATTCAGGACCTGAAAGTGCTGGTCTCCCTTGTTACTGCTTGCGGAGTCACGGTGGCCACTATTCAGGAGATGCAACCAGAAATATTCACAAAATGCGCACCTGATGGATCCGTCATCCAATGCTCGGACTCCTTTCTTCGTCGTTTTCTCCATGCAAAACTTGGATGGTCAGAACACTGTTCTACTTGGGCAGCACACAAATTGCTGGACCAGAGCATGCCACGATTATATCCGTGCGAGTACCTGTATCCGTGGGAACAAGTACCTGTGCCCTCAGAGGCCACACCTGTATCCGGGGTGGCATCTGTAGGAACGGGTATCCATATCCACAGATACAGGTACTTGCCAATGGACGGGTACTCATGGGTAGAAATAATCTACGGGTATCTTGAAGGTACCTGAGGGGTACCTGTGGGTACTGTGGTAAATATTGTTATGGACGCTTTTTCTTCTTTGTTACTTTGTGTATCTTTTTCTTTTCTTTTCCTTTACCTCGTTCCTAGTAAGGCGACGCACACCCGGACTTCGGCTTGATCCCTTTTCACTAAAATCCCTTTAAAACCCTTCTATAAACATATCCCTTTCTCTAACGGACACGTATACTTACATTGGACACGTATACATACCACGGACACGTACGATAGTGGGCTGGACACGTAGGGAAGGACTGCGGACACGATATCTCGTTCGAATATGGACTTCCGCGATGTGGCTTAGCTCTGGCTCGGCGGAGCAGACGGACTCTTAGGCTGATGTGGCGGACCTATATGACGTGGCGATTCACACGGACTTGTACTAGTATAAATATCGAACCTTTGTAGTCGAAATTCTCCAACCTGTTCACTTGTATCGTACCTACAGTGTTTCAGTTGAATTCACCAGAATCCTCGATATTGTCTTGCGTGACCTCCAGATGATACCCCTCAAATCTCAACTACTGAAGAGCTTTACCACCAGAACCTCGAATCCACATCAGCTCTAGCACGCCTGCCTCAGAAGAGGACACCTCATCTGAACAAACTCGATCCTAGACCGGACGCTGCGTCTAGATGAACCGAGCCAGAACCCCAGATCCAGAACCTCCGAAGCCCCTCGCTGATCGTCCAAGCCAACGGCGCCGAACGACTCGATCGTTCCCCGCTTCACGAAACCGACGCTGTAATGTCCAGGCTTGAATAGAGATTCAAGAGTGGACGCGCGTTCTGGTGCAGGTGTGATAGCTATCACAGGTGCGATCGGCCGTGTTCTAAGAAGCCTTGCTTCTAGGTCAAAGGTCTGGTGTAGTGGCGATTCTACACAGTCAAAGGTTCTAGGTATCGATGAGGGAAGCTAGTCCTGGTGAAAGGACTAGTTCAAGTACGAGTAGATAGACGAGGTAAATCAGAGATGAATAGGTTAAAGAACTCCCCTCTACTAGGGTCGTCCTTATATAGTACATACATGCGCAGCCGCAGGAGGCTATGATACTAATAAGTAAGTCAGACCGAGTCGTGCTAGTACTGTGCCCCAGTCCGTAGTCGATGCGGAATCCTGTACCCAATAAATATAGTACAAGCCTATGCAAGGCTATGAAGCACAGTCCGAGGCTATGAGAAACGAGATAGTCCGTAGTCGAGAATACGAG